AGGCCACTAGCTTTGGACATTCAGTCCTTGGCTAACAGACTTGTGAGGTTGGATATTTCAGAGCCCAGTCGAGTTCTTGCGTGTGTTGTTGCCCAGTATTCACTATTGGGGCAGATCAAGACTCGATAGTTTGATGATCCGCATTTGGCAGTTCTCAGAGAGACGGTACTACAGGGTGGTGACAAAGAGGTTTCTATCGACGAGGATGGTGTTCTGCGACTCCAGGGTCGTCTATGTGTTCCTAATATCGATGGCTTGAGGGAGATGATTCTAGAGGAGGCACATAGTTCACGGTATTCTATTCATCCGGGTGCTACGAAGATGTATCGTGACCTGAGGCAGCATTATTGGTGGCGGTGGATGAAGAAAGACATAGTTGAATATGTGGCTAGGTGCTTGAATTGCCAGCAGGTTAAGTATGAGCACCAGAGGCTAGGTGGCCTACTTCAGCAGATGCCTATACCCGAGTGGAAATGGGAGCGCATTACTATGGACTTCGTAGTTGGGTTGCCGCGGACCTTGCGGAAGTTTGATACAGTTTGGGTCATTGTCGACAGGTTGACCAAGTTGGCACACTTCATTCCGGTTGTGACTACCTATACTTCAGAGAGGCTGGCCCAGATTTATATTGGGGAGATAGTTCGGTTGCACGGTGTGCCTGTTTCCATCATATCAGATAGAGGCCCTCAGTTCACTTCCCATTTTTGGAGAGCCGTAGAGAGTGAGTTGGGAACTCGTGTGGAGCTCAGCATAGTATTTCATCCACAGACCGACGGGCAATCGGAGCAGACAGTTCAGATTCTGGAGGACATGCTTAGAGCATGTGTGATTGACTTTGGAGGGCAGTGGGATCAGTTCTTACCTTTGGCCGAGTTTGCTTACAACAACAGTTATCAGTCCAGCATCGAGATGGCTCCATTTGAGGATTTATATGGTCGGCGATGTTGTTCTCCTATCAAGTGGTTTGAGCCTGGTGAGGCTAAGTTATATGGTATAGATTTGGTGAAAGATGCCTTGGAAAAGGTAAAGTTGATCCAGGAGCGCTCCGCACAACACAACCCAAACAGAAGAGTTACCCGGATCAGAAGGCGTGAGATGTATCATTCATGGTCGGCGAGAAGGTTCTCTTGAAAGTCTCGCCGATGAAGGGTATTATGAGATTCGGAAAGAATGGCAAGTTGAGCCCCAGGTTTATAGGCCCATTTGAGGTGTTGAGGCGAGTTGGGGAGGTTGTTTATGAGCTTGCTTTACCCCCCCAGCCTATCGGGAGTTCATCCGATTTTTCATGTGTCTATGCTCCGGAGGTACCAGACCGACTTGTCACATGTGTTAGACTTCAGCACTATTCAGCTAGATTTGGATTATGAGGAGGAGCCAATTGCTATTGTTGATAGACATGATCGCAAGTTGAGATCCAAGAGAATTTCTGCGGTAAAGGTTCAGTGGAGGGGCCAACCAGTCGAGGAGAAGACCTGGGAGTCCGAGGAGGACATGTGGAGAAGATATCCACACTTATTTAGCACTTCAGGTATGAATCTAAACCCGTTCGAGGACGAACGTTTGTTTAAGAGGTGGAGAATATAACGAATCGACTGATCGTTTTGCTTTCTAGAACCCCGTTCCCCTAAATAAGACTTCCCGTACTTGCTTTAACTAATTTATGACTTGCGGGGATGGTTGGTTCGGGATTTTGGAAGAGTTTGGGTTGAAATCGGAACACTTGGTTCCTTAAGGTTGGCTTAAAAGGCCAAGTTTGACTTCGGTCAACATTTTTAGTAAACGACGTTGGAGTCGGGATTTGAAGGTTCCAATAGGTTCGTATGATAATTTCGGACTTGGGCATATGTCCGGATCGGGTTTTGGATGACCCGGGAGCGTTTTGGCGCCTAATAGTGAAAGTTGATTCTTTAAAGATTTTAAAGTTCTTTAAATTTGGTCTGGAGCAGGTTTTGTTGATATCGAGGTCCGAATGGAATTCGAGATTGGGAATAGTTCCATAATATCATTTAAGACTTGCACGCAAAATTTGGTATCATTCCGAGTAGTATAAGTACGTTTCGGCACAATGGAAGTAGATTGAAGAACTTAAAGTTCATAAGTTTGATTCAATTGGTTTTAGGGTGTGATTCTTAGTTTTAATGTTGTTTTGGGCGTTCCAAGGGTTCGAGCGAGTCCTTTTTATGATTTCAAACTTGTTAGTGTATTCGGGTGGGGCCCCGGGAGCCCCGAGCATCAAACAGACGAGGCTCGAACTAAGTTGAAAATTTGAGAAGGAGCTGAAGCTCCAGTTGCTGTCATAACAGCACCTGCGGATAGCCAGCCGCATGTGCGAGCTCGCAGGTGCGGTGGAAGCATCGCAGATGCGGCCCAAGGAGGGGAGCCCAAGTTCCGCAGATGCGACTCCTCTCCCGCAGAAGTGGAACCGTAGGAGCGGTCATCAGTTCGCGTGCAGCCCCAGCTGGCCAGGCCCATTACCGCAGAAGCGGACAATAGTCCGCAGATGCGGTCTAAGCACCGCAGGTGCGAAAATCGCTGAAGGCAGTGGCCTTCATTTAATACGGGAGTTTGTCATTTTTGACACATTTCACTCCATTCTTGGGCGATTTGGGAGCTTCAAAAGGGGAGATTTCAACCTAGCTTTGTGAGGTAAGTAATTTCTACTTAATGTGAGTTTAATATATAGTTTATGGGTAGATTACAACATGTAAATTAGTGGAAATTATGGGTTTAGAGTAAAGCCTAGGATTTTGATAAAAATGAGGTTAAATTATAGAATGTAGTAGAAATCATATATTCTTGATCCTAAGGTTATGGGTAACAACTTTCTTCGAAAATTTTCGGAATTTGGGCACGTGGGCCCAGGGATGAATTTTAGGAACCTTGCGTCTATTGTTGGGAAATTACTTTAATAGTTAGAATATGAATTCTTGAGCATATATTGACTAGTTCTTACCCCATTTGAATAGTTTTGGATCCGGTTCCGATTTGAGGTTTTGAGCGCATTCTTGAATTTGGAAGTAAGCTTTTGGGGCAAGGTAAGTCTCTTTTCTAACCCTGTAAGAGGGAATTAATCCCATAGGTGAATTACATAAATGTATGTACCTATCTGTGAGGGGCTATGTACGTACGTGGTGACGAGAGTCCATGTGTAGCTACTATTATGCTAATTTTCCGGGTAGTTTAGGACCTGTATCATGCTATACTTGAAAATGCTTGCGTCCTTACTTGTCACTATAATCACTTAAGGCATGCTGGAAATTGGTAAAACAAATATAGACTGTTACACTCACTACTTAAGAATTTGTATGAATTACTTGACTAAAAAGGGGCAATGTGTGTTTTCTTGAAAATAAATTTTTATTTGTTGATCGGGCCGAGCGCCTCGGTAGTAAATAGATGCATATATGGTTCGCGTCATTCGACCCTCTGGCAGTGCACGATTTAATTTTATATTGGACCGGGCCGTACGACCTCGGCATAACCTGTGCAAGTTATTTATTTTGAACTTCCCGTGATTTATACTGCTTAAATGCTTTGAAACGTAAGTTGTTACATGATATGACTGGAATTGACTTGTTGGTTATGAAACAATGTCTTATTTCTCCCAATTCTTAAACTGTCATTATTATTCATGTTGTTCATGCTTAGTGTAACACTTAAATTATATTATTATTGGCCCTAGTGAGTGTCAAGTCGACCCCCCGTCACTACTTCTTCGAGGTTAGAGTGGATACTTAGTGGGTACATATTGTTTATGTACTCATACTACGCTTCTGTACTTAATTGTACAGGATCTGAGGCAGGTGCATCTAGCTACCCGTCCGGCGCGCATTCCTGATATTGATCGAGATTTCACGGTGGGCTGCCCCCTTCTGAGCCGTTCAGCAGCATGCCGGAGTCTCTCCTTTTGTTATTACTGTCTATTCTATTTCAGGCAGTAGGATAGTTATATTTTGTACATTCTACTAGTTGCCCTCGTACTTCTGAGCCGTTTTATTAGAGCAAAGCCAAATAAAAAACATGGTGCCGTCCTCTCTTAGCTTGCAGCTTTAAACAAAGCAAGTAGAATCAAATGGTAACATGATTCGTCCAATCCTTTGAAAGAACAACACACTTACAAAACCTGAGTAAGAAGACAATTACGATGTAACATTAGTCATTACAAAACATGATATTTCCCTTGCTGCTTGGTCAAATAGTTTTGTGGCCCATTACAAACTTGTTTTTAGTTTTATGACCCCATCTCTTTTTTACACATGGGAGATCTGCTTTTACACATAGGAAACCTATCTTTTACATATAAGATATCTAAAAAAGACACTTTCTTAATTTCAATATTGTAAAAAGCCATGACGACCTAAAGCCTCATTTAGGCTCTAGATTGTGGTCCAACACAGCTTGTTAAGCATTTTCCTTTTTGTCACATATGGTAGAGGATTTTGGGGTTCTGTTCATAGGGTTTATTTCCGAGCAGTATAAATATTGCAAGGGTATTCAGAATGATATGGAGCAAGAACTCTCTTTTGCTTTTTATTTCTTCTACACAGTATCTTCTTAAATTTGACAGGAAGGGAGGTTATTTCACTTGTTCGGTGCTTGCTAGTCTTACGTTAGTAGAATCGATACACTGTCAGCACAAAGCAGAATATTACAACCTTGTGACAGACCATGGAACGCGTTGTCGATATCCCAACAGCAGAGTGTTGAATTCACGAGTTGCAAAGGGACAATCTTAGTTTGGCATATTACCACCTGTCTTAGTGAAGTTCACTCTGGTTTAACGCTTTCAGGCTCAAAAGAAACAACTCTACCACTCAAAGAAGATTTTGTTGTTGCGACTAGCTTGTCTAGGGATTAAGCATATATAGTGCTGATTAAAGACACTAGAGACTTTCTTAAGGAGTGCAAGTCCCTGGACAGTAAGTTACAAAAGATGATGAAGATGCATGGGGCATTCTAATAAAGAAGGTGCATTGATGGGAAAACAACTGACTCAAGAATAGAAGATAAAGATGCAAGGTCTTAGCACAATTCTGAGCGGATTGGCTCCCTTTGATGATGCAACAGCCCACGCAGAGTAAAAAATTAAGTAAACACAATTTTCGCCGCCAATACGAGGCAGTGATGAGTTAAATTCCTCGTGTTGCCATGGAAGTTAGCCCGGGAAACTGATTCCATTATGCTACTAGGGTTCCAAACAGACCAGAGGGGGAGAGTTCACATGTTCCTGAAGGTCAGTACGATGAAATGTCGAACCAGATAGAAAACATAAGGTTTAGTGGAGCTAACACTGCCAATTGGTAATATAGACCTGCAATTATCATATTCGCCAGTTAAGAATATGGTACATACAAATACAACATAGCCAAGCCAAGTATGAAGTGCATCATCTGCTGGAACGCAATCTCTGCTTTCAGAACATATAGATGGTCGGCCACATATTCTAACCTGGCATTACATCAGCAAAATCACCATGCAGAGTGTTACTCATCAGAAGAAGCTCGCCCATGAAAGTTGCTCCAAATGCAGTATGATTGCTTCCCGATATGTATTTTGTATAGTTATTCTGAATACTAGTACAGTTGTGACACTAACTGTGACGATCCAAGTTCTATGACGACACTACCAATCTAATAAGCTCCCGGTGTCAAAAGAATTTTGTTGTCTTCAAGAATGAAACATTAGACTTTTGTCTTCATGTATCAAAACGCTTTCCATTAAAACTGGTCTCATCCTACATATAACCTTGAGTAAGAAAAAACCTTTATCTTCGGCGTTTTGATTCCTTGCGCATCTCTGCCACATAGCTTTCGAAGTTGGACTTCTCCCAAAGTCGTCTTTGAATAAGATCTTCCTTGGTTGATTCGTCTGATAAAAGAAGCATGAACATTGGAAGAAACATAAGCAGCGAGGAAATGAAAAGAAACTTTCGTCAAAACACTATATCGGGAAGTATGCCAAGTAGCAAAGGTCGAGGAGACATTTGTTAAAAGCATCAGCAGTGGCATATACAGCCTTCATCACTTTTATATTTCTTAAGATTTACACAGGCATCTGAAATACTTTTTGGTTTCAACTTGGCCATTTATATTATTCAAAGTTGCCACTTTGTGGCATCCTTTCGTACATTCAGATTAATGCCCACGTCAATTGACAACTAATACCTAAACTGTCTTGCATGAATTTAACTCAAGAATATATTGAGGGTGAGTGCGAAGGATCATAAAGAGATTAGGTAGTGGAGAAGACAGAGCAACACATGTGTGCTTTATAGTTGGTTTTGAACTTTATTCAGTTTAACTCAACCAAAGTGACAGATATTCTGCATTTGGAGAATAAAAAAGCATCACTGAAATTTCAAAAGTACAAAGTGAATCGATGCAGTGCCAGTTAACATCTATGGTTGTGTGCATTTTAGATTATTTTTTGTATATTTCTTTTGCCGCACTTATATCTGTTTTTCTTCTAGAACTTAAAAGTTACCACTTGTGCCTTGACCCTAAATCAAGTGACTGATCTGATCAGAAGGTCCTTAAGAAGTATTCTGCGATAGTTAAAGATCATGATTACCAATGTAGATGGCAATGTGGAAACCTACAATTTCAGTCAATAACTAAAAACCCTAAAGCGTCCAGGCAGCAATTTAAGAAAAGAAAAGGTAAACAGAAAGAATGAATATGCCTAGTAGATATCAAAATGAAAAGGAAAATAAGAACTTTATTTCAAGGTCCAATTCACCTATTAAAGAGATGGTTTACAATATGCCAACATAGTATAAGAGATTTTTATATCACATCCACCAGTTTGGCAAATCATTTGGGCCAAATTCATTTTACTATAGCCATATTTTTGCTTGGACAATTAAACTACACAGTGGACTATTTTTTCTCCTATTTCTTCTAATTTAAATCAAATACCCAACACTACCACAGGTTGTACACATAGAACATGTTTGAAGATCAGTTTTAGTCTTACCAATAGATATCCACGAGTCAATAGAAACCCTAAGAGCTCTTCGTGTCAAATAGGAGGCATCTTCCCATGAGTATGGAGCACGCTTGACATTGTACCTCCAGAACCAACATCCATACCATAGCAACAGCTGCAGAAGATAGAAGAAGAATGTCAGCAACTCTGAATATATGATATCCATAGGCATAAAGTATCTTATTTTAAACCCTCTAGCAGAACAAACTATATGCACAAGGAAATTTGGATATCAACAGACAAAGCCAAAATGTCTTTTTATTTCATTGTAATGCATAAAACAAGAATACTGCTACCTTTCCCAGAGTGTAAGGAAGAAGTATAAAGCGAATTCCAATTAGTTCCCAAACAGAAGGCTTTTCAGCTCCCTTTATGTCCAAGTTGAGTTCCTTGCTAAGTTCTTCCTCCACCTTCCTGATCACAAATAGCGAATTCGGCTGATAAACCCAGATTTAGCAATAAACAAATTTGAATGACAGCCTATATGAAAAGCAAGTATATTTCGTCAAGCTAAAGCCAGAAGATTCAAATCAGGTTGCATAGTCAATAAACGAAGAGATCTGCTCATACTTGTCCATCTGCTTGTTGCTCTTCTTCCTATTAGCAACTCCTCCAGTGCGTTGAAGCTCCAAACCACGTAGCTTGTTTTTATAAGCTGGTGTTTTCTTGACCATCTCAATAGCCTAGTAAAAGACGAAATCGCAATTTATAAGTATAACACATGGCAAAGAAATAGTAAGAAGCAAGAAAAAAACTACTTCCATCTCCAACTATAGGTCACCCTCTTCTACTTTTTGTTGAAGTGAAAGGTGGCTACATTTTATTTATGCCAGAGATTACCATCTTCCAGAATTCAAAATAAGGAGAACCTTTTATTTGTTTTATTTTATTTTCACCATGATGTAACCTTTCAGCAAATTGCACTTCTTTTGGATCCCAACTGTTATTTTGCAA